CCACCGGAGGGACCAGGTGAATTCGATTCAAACTCGGAAGTTTGTTGTCGCTTTAACGACGGAATTCTCGCGAGAAGGGATCGGGCTCGCAAAATTTCACCGTATCGTGCTCATATTTAATCCGCGGTGAGCCTCGACTCTCCTTCAACTTTCTGGGACAAATCTGAGCGGAGTACGTTCAGTTCGGATAAAGTAAACGATTCCGGTATCGATTTTCGATCGTAACGAGCGAACGTGGTTTTAAATGCGCGAAGAATAGCCTTACGAGAGAATCTTTGCGAGGGGTCGTTTCATTGATAAATAATTTCTGCACGAAAGGGTTATCCGTCGTTGCGAATTGTTTCAGTACCGAACGTCTCGGATTTCCAACCGCGATCAAGCGTAGGCGTGAATTGTAACTCCAATTTGGGCAGGTTTGTAGGATACAATTGACGTCTTCTGGCGGTTGATGATCGTTTCATTACGGGCGTACATTTCTGTGCGGTGCATAGGCGTAACTGTGCATGCTCGCGAGAGATTTGTTTTGAAAGCTCGACTGACACGCCGCGCCGTCGTCCCACAGGGAAATGGGATCTCGATTGAATGGAAATGACGTTCGAGCCAGACACGTGTATCCCGCGCGGAATGCACGTGAATAGTGCTAATCGGTGTCTATGGCAAACGGTCGCGGCTACGTGTCCCCTTCGTGGAGTGTTAATTTCGGAAACAACATTCGGCATGCCCTTACACCTTGTCCTACAGCTACTAAAGCCTACCTGATAACGTTAATGCCTCGGGTTTTCGACAATAATGCGGTTTTAGTGATGTCGTTCCCTGCACTGTCGCAATTTGCAACTACTTATAGCGATGCCATTCATCCACATTATTTTCCTCGCTGTCAATAATGTTCGTGGCATAGATCGGTTAATCCAGACGAAATATTCTTATCTACATAATTCGCAATTTAAATCTTTTTTTTTTCCTACTCGATTTCGTTCTTTAATCCCTCGTTTTTCGTTGATCGGGAAATTTCGTTTATCGCGACCACCTGTATTACCTGTATTCTAATAAAATTATTCTTCGACACGAGACAATCGAAGACTCGCGTTTCGATGCAAGCTTTCCAACGACTTGGATGGATGGGTACTTTGTATCCTCAGCAGGCGTCTCGAATGACATTTTCGAAAACCAGTTTCGGTTTCCCCATGTGTTCCGTTATAAATCAAGCCGATAATTCTTTTAACGCCATCTCCTCTTTCCAACCCCTCGACCTAGTCGGCAGTTCTACGAAATTCTAGACGCCGTAACCGAAGGGTCTCGCGCAGCGGGAAACGAAGGTTTCGATTGGAACGATAACTCCGGAATACTTCCTGGGTGCTATGTTTCCGATTAGTTTCTATAGCTCGGAAACCATTAATCACGTACAAAATTGTGCGATTAATTTATTTGGCACGAATCGTATTACAATGCATGTCTATCCGCTATTCTCGCACGTGTCATTAATTTGACGTGAATGGTGCATTGTACGCGGAATTATTCGCCGTACACGTTCCCTGAAATTCGCGTCTACTTCGTGGAATATAAAAAATCTTTTTCTTCTCGATGCTGTGTGCTGGACGAATGAAATCTCAGTCGTGCTCGCGTAAGTTCGGAGTTACGAAGCGCAATCGATCGAAACCATCGTCTCCCGTCTTTTACTTTGCCTAATGCCATCATTAGGCATTCTAAATAGATGGCTCCTAATTCGGGATCCGCGCATTACTTATTCGAAGATGAACCTCTTAACGGAACGGTAATACCATCCACGTGACAGCCTCCCATTCCGTTTCTCGCTGTGCAGCGCATTATCGAGTCGTAGTTAACACGCACAGACAATGTAACGCAGTTAGCAACGTCAATATTAATTTGTGCCGATGCAATTTGATTACGCTCCTCGCTGTTCGGGTTAACGGGCTGTAATAGCAGGTTGCATTAACTTACTCGCCATAAGATCTCGTCAGCCGACAATGACGACGTGTGCGACAATTTTCGACGACGATTTTCAACCTGGCCCTCCTCTCCCATCCACCGGTGCATATTTGCATAATTTACTTATAAAAATGGTGCCTGCTCGTGACGCGCGTCGCGTCGCGTCGAGATGAACTTTCCGACGCGGCGATGAGCTTTCATCGATACTCGCGAGCTACTGGTTAAAAGTTTCTCGCCGAGGCGTCCTCGACTCTCTCGTTATTCACTTTGATTTCGCTTTGCTTCGCAGCGATCCTCGCGTAGGAAGATATATCCGTTGAAATTCGCTTACCCGAGCGAGTTCGCGTTATGTAATTCACAGGATCTCTCTAGACTTCGTTTTTGCCTGGTGTCGATCTCGTCTCGATCGTTAAACACTCGTCGCGCGTCGCTATGTCACGTATTTTCCGCTGTCTACTCCATCGAGGGAGATTCCTTGGAAAAGGACCCGGCTCCCTGAGCTCAGACGCGCGGTTCTCTTTTTCTCGACGCGCGATTCCGAGGAGCAGGGCTGATCGCTCTGAAACCTTTCTAGACAGCTGGAGGACTCGAAAACGCGAAGTCCTTTTTCTTGGTTGACGAAAGGTGGATGATTATTATTCAAATCTGAAAGCGTTCAAATCTTTCGATATAGATAACACTTGTCAAAGGGTGGTTTATGTAATTCATAATTCATTTAAATCCATTCGTGCGGTGGCTACATGATATTTGAAAGATGATAATTTTTTAACGTCCATAATTACTTTATTGTATTTTCGATGTACAATCTGAATATTATTCGACAGCCATACGTATCGGCACTCGTATACTTTGCATGTTTTTCGTGCATATGTGAATATTTTTCACGCATATACGCACTTTCCCGCGAATAAATGTATATTTTGCATGCATGAAAGGCGCACGCTGTTTGCATATCCGCTAGTTATAATACGATACATGTATTTCATCGAACGGGACCGATATACCTTTCGGTCCTTCTGAAAAATCCAAGAATTATTCTAGCCTCCTTATAGATAACATCTGTCATAGCATGGAAAAATAGATTCTTATCGAGAAGCGTCGAACCGCGAAAGTCGAGAACGTGATCAAAATGAGGACCACGAATACAGAATTGACGATAAAGAATGATCGTGATCCATGGCAACTTCCAAACTCTAAACCAAACATCGACTTATTTCGAAAACGATTCTTCGAAGTTTCCCTTGTTCTCGACTTCCGTATCGATGTTCGGGGCGATATATTTTCGAGCGCTGCAGGATAAACACACAGGGGCTTCTACGTGGGCGCAGGACCCCGTCCAGGGCGCAGCTGCCACGGTGTCGCGTTACTTGGAAATCTTTCGGGGTCTCGTCCTGTCTTCGATTCTGCTCTTCGTCGTCGAACGATAGCGGAGGACGATGTCGACCCTTGTCGAGTCGTCCTAAAATGAGAAACCGTTTACCGTGTGACATTTCTACGCGCTGTCGGCTCGTTTAAATACTCTTATCTAAATCCCAACTACTTTTAATCTCTGCCAGCTTCCACGAAGGGCTGAAACTATGGCCGGATATTGGCTCCGCGGGCTAACTAACGATTCTCACGCAACTGCGGTTTCACACGATATTGGAAACGGGCGGGAGCTCGCGAAGAAATCGACCATTGCCCGGTTGCGTTCATATCGGTGAACTCGTTGTTTAACAATGCAAACGTCGCTTCCACTTGCACGGATACAGCCGGGAAAAATTGATTTATTCAGGGTGAACGATTTATCGAGCAGCCGCGACCTCTAATCGTTTGTTTTCTCTGCGAATTATACTGTCTGATTTTATCGGAGCTCGTCTGCCAATTATCGTCGTGGCAACATATTTGAGTGCGCTGAATATTTTTCCTTTTTTCGCCTGTCGTTTGCGTGTACATAGAGAAAGTTGCGACTTGCTAGGAAACGTCCGATAGACGTGCGAACGAAACTTTATTTTAACCCCCTGTTGGACACGTGTATTTTCTTGTGCTCAAAGTAAGCGCTTAATGGAACACGATGGCATGTTTAAGATCCAGATGTCGTGTGTTGATTTGTATCGTAACTTTTGATCGAGTGATTCTACGTTAGCTTCCGAAGGGGAATAATTCTGTGTACAGAACGTTCGTTATTTAAATATTAATCGTTCGTCTCACAGGGCGGGACAAAATTTATTTTTGTAGTTGAATCGGATAAGGTTCGTCTTTCTTGAGTAAACTAATGCAGAGTAAATATGAGAGGCGACTGTCACTTTCATGTTGATATATAAGAGCAAACAAAAATTATAGGTGTACATACAATATGATTTATTAGTTTACAAGGACCGTATACAAAATTCATAATCCAATAGTAATATTTTGTGTAGAATTTAATATTCAAATACTTGGGTAGTTTCTTCATACTACTGAAATATTTGTCGCTCGTTCGAATAGCAAACTACTCGAATAGAGCCAGCCCCAAGACGGATAGGTCTACGAGACTTTTACTGCAGCTGTTTGGAGATGTTACGAGGGTTGCCGTGCGCGAATCCTCTGGAGCTGAAAACTAGCTCAGTGTTACACGCGTCGCGCGTTTCTAGGCGAAGTGCCGTCGTAAAAGTAGTTACCCGAAAAATTAGAGACACCAGAAGGAATTTGGTAGCGCGCCAGGATTAATTATCGAGAAACATTATCGCCGAGACGGAAAAATTCGCGGACATTTAGCCTGGGCGGGGTGGAATATTGCGCTCGGTCTGTTTAATGGCGAAATAATGCAACCTTTTGTTACGGGGTTATTATCGTGATTGAGGAAGCGACGCGTTAGCTACTTTACTCCTCTGGTTTTTAATTACACGCTTTAATGAAGCGTGGGTGTGGTAGAATGAAAGGCAACAGTCATCGCCCGCCTCAGGGCGGTGAGTTATGATTTATTTATTGCAACAATATGGAAGAGATCTCGATGAGTAACTCTGAATTTTTTTCAGATCATTTGGGAGCTTGCGACGATACGTGGATCTGGCATGAACAAGATGGACCTAGTGTTCGAGGAAGGGGTGGATAAAGGTATGAAGTCTTTCGTTAGATAAGTAATCTTGTGTTTCATGAAAACTATTAGTTTCGATTGACACTTGACAATCTATAGATTAGCGCTGAGTTAAAGGAACGAAGGGTTTTATTATTTAGCGAACTGGTAGCTGGCTCCGTTCGATAAGTTCGATTCACTCGTCTGTGCCGTTTCCCGAATGATTCCATCGAATTTTCATCGCGGTTGGTGGATTTTATCCGATGACCGTAATTCACTTTGATCGTTCGCCGCGATAAGGTCGAACCAATTAGGAGGTTTATCGTTGACCCGAGATAATCGAGGGGGCGAGCAGGAAAAAAGGTTATCTTATCGGCGCAGATTTGTCGTGACTTTGTCCCTTCGTGCTCTCGTCTTCGGTCACCCTTCGCCGTTGGCCTCCATCGAATTTCCATTAACGCTGGCCAATTACGTTGCGTCTCTCTCTCTCTCTCTCTCTCTCTCTCTCTCTCTCTCTCTCTCTCTCTCTCTCTCTCTCTCTC